TTAAGTTTTCTGAGTGATATAATTGGAATTAAATTATTAATGGGAGATACTTTAAAAAAGATTGTTTTATGATCTTCTATTAGGGAATTTGCAATTCATTTTAATATTTGTAGTTTGATTTATATTAAAGATAATGCAATCTATGTCCAATTAACAATACATGGACAATGTAATGTGATTTCCAGATCATGCAAATGGAATAAGCTAGAAGAGGGGGTAAAACTCAATTCTTAACCTCAGATGTAATTTGCTGTGCGAGTTCTGGCAATTTTAAATGACATTGCACTTTTTAATTTTTCCAAAGGCTCAGCAGCAAATTTATCCCAATCAAGAAAGTCTATTATTAATTTACAAGGACAATTGTAGGAGTCTTTATAATTTCTCTGTGCAATTATTCGCCATAAATTGCTAATGGTAAAACACAAAGAGTTCGCAAGAAATAACGACTATTATTTGTCTTGGGCTCAAGTCGCCTTCTTCAGTCTTGAACATCTTCCCAAAGTGATGGTGGTACTGGCTCCATGTGAAATATCACATGCGTCATGAGATGCTGGAAACTGGTGTTCTGGAAAAGGGGGCAACACCAGAGCCGCTGCAAAGACGGCACTGGCCTCTAGCAGATTCCTGCACGCGGGGGCATGTACAGCTGAGCTGTGGACCCTGGACTTTCATATAAAAAGACTCTTTGTTCACCACTGAATGGCATTAGGCATGGACTTGCTGAGGGGCCACCATGAAGCCTCGCATGAGGAGGGCAAACACTAGCCAGAAAACACAATACGGGAGTCATAGACAGACATATCTCTGGATTTTTGTGCAAAAATGCATAGTTTCCACATATCGTTTTGCCAGTACTTTGGTGTTTTGGTGTGTTCCTAGCATATGCTTTCTTGTTACTAGACTAAAATACATTTCTCCCCCTTCACTGTGTTTTCTCTATCTGTTGTGTGTTTACAAGAAAGGAGATTATGCTGGATATACAGGTGTTTGTGGTATTACTTTGCACTGGGAAAGATACTCAAATTTGTTATTCTAATGACTAGATCATTTTCCTTGCTTTAACTCTTCCTAATATAAAGTCACATAAAGCCCAGTTAAAATATGGTACAGGATGTAAATACTCAAACCCTGAAGACACAGAATCAGACAGCCCGATTCTAATAATCAAGAAAATTCTTTGGTTTAATTCTTGTGTTTCTTGTAGCCAAAACTTCACTCTCTGCTCAGCAATGTCTGGTCTCTTTTCAGCATAACCAACAGAAGCACCATACAAAAGTCTTACAATGGATGTCTTAATCTCTCTGTGTGCTTTTAGAGCATTATTTTGAATTCCATCATGCTGCCTTTTTTCTTTCCTCTTCTGAAGTTTTATTACAACAGCAGAATTCCCAGGGAGCTTTGGGGGCAAGGTTCACATAATATAGCCCTGAAGTTTTGCTTAGGTGGAATCCATCCCCCAATCCTGGCCATCTTTTGATGATCTTTCTATTTCAAAAAGATTCACTGGGTAGAATCTTAAAGCATTAGCTATATGTAGTTTATTTTCTGTTTTTTTTTTTTTTTTTTTTTTTTTTATTTATTTTTTTTTTTTTTTTTTCAACCCTTTCATGATGCTTTCTTTCTCTGACCTCACCGTGACAAGGCATCTTGTTCTTTAACACTGAGGGAGGCAGAAAAATGCTGGAGTTTTCTCAATGTGTGCCTTCTATACCAGTTTCAAAATGGCTTATTCTTCTGGTTTCCATGGTGACAATTAACACTGTTTCAAGGCATTGTTCCAGTCTCCATTTGGGCAGAATTTTTGGTGTGATTTTTAACAACAACAAAAAAAAAGATTTTAGGAGGGAAAAGAACCTTTAGCATAACTGTCAAAAAAGTTATCTCAATCAAGTCTTTGTGCATTTCTAATTATATTTACTTCAGAAATCCCTGTTTTTACTGGCTTTGTTTTATAATTCAATGTTGTTAGCATTTGTGCTTTTAAAAAGGATGGGCCGAATGAGAATTTCTAAAAACTTCTTTAATTTTTAGTGACAACAGCAAGCTAGCATTGGTGGTGATTTGTAACTCTGTTTTTAAAGTTTTCTTTATATACCTTCTGTATACCTAGGAGTGGCATTTAGGATAGGAGTGGCCTGTGATTTTAATTTAGATCATTCACATATCTATTAGGAGGCTTCATTAGTCAAAATTGAATTGGCCAAGCAAATACACTTAATAATGTAAATATGCCCTTTCAATAGAGTATATTTTATTTTTGACTAGACAGAGAGGCCCACAGCAGGTGCTGTGGGGAAATTAAATACTGAATGCTTATTTACCTTAGCACTCAAGAAAAGCCATCTGACTTTAACTTCGTTAATCTCATTTTTGGCTATTGAAGAGTAGTCTCTATCATAATATCCCAGACTATAGGACACAATGGGGCAGCCTCTGCTCACTTACTGCTGTGGGTGAAATGAATATGAAGATTAAACTATCTTCACACCACAGGATAAAGTAGCCCTAGTTGATAGGACGACTGATAGAGCAGACCATTGGTTCTCTGTCTAATGTTTCTGAAAAGATGTTGGAGAGAGAAGAGCAAAATGTCTTCAGCATCAACAGAAACAACGCTTTGCATTATTATATATGTGTACAGCTTGCAGTCTGAAATCGTATCACATTCAACCTTCAGAGTGCCTCAAAAATTAAAATAAATATGTTTGCCTTAAATTAGTTGATATTCTAGTACCTTTCAGGCACACACCAACACACTTAACAATTGGCTGGATTTTCTTAGCTTTTATAGTTTGAAAGCATTGTCCATCAATCACATCTTTAATCAAGCTTTTTATACAGTAGGTTCCATGGGGACAAGACAAGGGAGCTTACATAAAGACAGGGTTTTTTTTTTAGTGTAATAACCTTTTATTAGCGGTTGCCGTGACTACTTGCACCACATTTCATAGAGAAAATTATTTTATTATGTCTAAAATTAAATTAATTGCTTTTTATATTTTTATTATTCCAAGACTATCATTTTTATGGGCTGAATCTAAACTGTTCTCTTTCTTGACTGATCCTCTATGTGGGAGCCATTAAAAGTTGGGGCAAAGAGAGGGGATGAGCTTGTCACAAGTGACAGTGATAACTGGTTGAGGCTGCTCCCAGGTGGCACAGCCGGAGGACTCCCTCTGTCAGTGCACTTGGCTTAAGCAAAAGATTTTAATAGGATTCTCTGCCTGCCTGAAATGCTGGTTCCCCCAATATTATGTCAAAGAAGTCTTACCAAATTAATTATGTAAATCTTTGTCGACAGCATCATCTTTAGATGGGAATCTGATAAAGCAGATTGCCCTCTCCTCAATCATCGCTCTGATAAATAAAACACTATCTAGGTTTCTGGAATACTTGTTGAGTGTTTTGTCCAGAAAGCTTGAGTAGCCAGTGTATTTTTTAAGTATTGGAGTAACATGACCCTGGTAATTGCTTGCCATTAGAAAATGCAATCAGAATCTCCCACCTATCAGAGGTCACATTCTGGAAGAGTTCTCAAACAACTCTTGATTTTTTTTGTTATGCATATTCATGTAATTTTGGATACTTTGACACCCTGATCAACATTCATTAATACTATGAAATGCTTTAAATCACCTCATTTAAAACATTTTGTTCTGTGATCCACAAATGACTAACATTTGGAGAAGTTTACATAATACAAATGATGTGCATGTTTAGCGTAAATGAAAGATTAAAATAAGAAACTAAAAGTATGCAAACATATGCATGTAAATGCTGAGGATCTATTACCCAAAACAAGGATTTCACACCTTCTTTTCCTTTAAGCTGCTTCCAATTGTATTTTCATTTGGGATCTTACACAGTATCATGTTTTCAAAGTAAATAACGTGCTTGGGCATGTTTTGAACTTGCTGATTTGATGCTTTGCCCAGACAGAAGCTTTTCTTATCAGATCTGTTAAGGTGCTCTGCTTAGCTCAGCTCAGTTAGAGCAATGGAGCAATACTACCAAAGACCTCAGTGCCCCCAACTTTTGTGGCTCGAAGAAAAAAAATTGGGGATTGTCATTATATTTTGTAAATGTGCTAAAGTTGTAAAATATGTGTAGTATTTTAACCAGAATCTAGTTTTCTACTCAGAGGTGTTTTGTGTACAGTACCTTTTAAAAGTACAGCCATAGTCATTTATAGCTATTCATAATACAAGACTTTCTAACTATGAAGTTATCCAAATAGAGTTATTTGAAGAGAATCACTATAGTAACTGCCATATTAAATGGCACTTAAATTATCTCTAGCAAAACATCTTTTAGCAGAGACTCACTTGGCAGTTTGTTATAATACAATGTAGATTGGGGGAGAGGAACTGTAATCAGTTGCGATGTTTGGGGACATTTTATGGTAATCAATAAAGAAGCATAGATTTGTAGCCATTCCAAAGCTCTGGTTTGCTTTTTTTCTCTATGTAGATACTCTTTCAAGACCACGCAGTTTTTAAGTAAAAGAAAGATGGGGGAAAAAGGGTTAAATGAGAACTCAGGAGACTTACAGAATAAGGAGGAAGTTTACACCATCTTTAAGGATCATCTAATTGTAACCAGAAGTCCTTTGTGGAGCAGACGTGAGAGATGAGCACCGCTCTGGAGCCAAGTGTTGACCAAAATTAGCTGTAACATTAAATTTTCCGAGGCCAGATATTTTCCTACTTGGAATACTTTAAATTAAAGATCAAATGTGTGTGTAAACTTTACTTTAATATGACATAAATCTTAGTCAACCAAATGGAATACCTTCGATGTTTATGTATGTCTGAGTAATATATATTTTAACTGTTTTCAGCAATATTCCTCAATGACTCAAGGTACTTAGGTTTAGTCTTCCCATAAATTTTACTGGAAACAAAACTTTTAATCCTCATGAACATTACTAACCCTGTGCTCAAAGATTTGCTAAGAACACCTGTCTCCCTAATGATAGCTCTCCTCTCTTCTTGTTTTAGCGATACAGTGTGGAAATGTCCATCAGGGACCTGAAAAAGACGGAGCTGCTTAGTAAGGTTGAAGCTTTGAAGAAAGGTGGCGTTTTACTACCAAATGATCTCCTTGAAAAAGTGGATTCAATTAATGAAAAATGGGAACTGCTTGGGGTATTTGCATTTTTATTACTGTTTGTAGGTTATGTGTACATTTTTTGTATAGTGAAGTACTCTATCTGTCTGATTTCTAATTTGAAGCACAAATATCTCTCTCTTTCAGTTCACTACCTACATTTCAAACAAGCTATTTATGCTATTATGAGGAAAAAACACTGCTTTTCCTTTTCTGTTGGATTTTTTTTTTTACTCCGAGCTTTTCTCCTCTCAGATTTTAATAATTTTGCTTCTTTAATACATAAAAAAGTAAGTAAAATATGCCATGTATTATGGGTATGCACCAAGTCAACTATAATACAGTATATCTGATATACACTGACTGTCATGCTTGAATGAATGTTAATAGAATTTACTCTGAAGGTACATGTTAGAGACATCCACTGTGTAACTATTTACTGTACCCTTCAGATGAAAAGGGGAGTTGTCACTACAGCTTTCAAGTGACACTAAAGCCACCAAAACAAAGATGCAAATCTGACCCAAATCTGAATTGCAGAATGAAATCAGCCTCTGTTTTGTGCCTCAATTTCCAGCTCACTTTTAACAAAAGCCAAAAAAAAAAAAAAAGTTTCATGTAATTCATTTCACGCAATGATGGGCTGGGTCTCAGCCAAAGACTGAGATGCAAGAATCTGGCAAAAAGGCAATATAGAGATTCTGTTACCCAGAGACCAGGATGGCACTGTGCGCGAGACAGTACTGTCCTTCTGTTGGAAGACAGCTGAGAGAGAGAGAGGTTAGGCTGTATTTTTTTCATCAACTTCTCTCCTAAATTGCCTTCACTTCAAATCAAGGGTAAGCTAAATTTGTCAATTACTTAAATAATTAATTATAACAGCAAAGTATGGGTGGTGTCAGTTATGGAGCATAATTTTGCATGCCTTCCATTTCTGCCTCTTTTTTTTAATTTTAAAGAAATAATACTCCAAAAATATTTTGAATTAAAAGCTCTCCGTGTACCTTGATGACTTGGAGGAATGCCAGTGTTCGGTTTATGCGATACTTAATCTAGGTGATTAAAAAAACTGCAAGTTTAAATCCTTGCTTTCTCATCTAAATTCACAATGCTCTACACTTACGCAAAGTAACTTAAAACCTGGAAAGTTTTTACTCTGACCTACTGTTACGTTACTTTTTAATAGTAATTAATGGCTTCCACCTTGTAATATGGTGATTTAAATTGGAACCTACTAAATTCTACAGAATTCATTGATCTCTTGCAGGAGAAATGTGGTCAGCATACGACATTTTTAAAGGGTTGTTTTACTAAATAGATGAGAACAGCAACTTTATGTGCTTGATAGAAAAAGCTGTAGTTTAATATGTCTTTTTATAATTTGATAAATAACTGAACACAACCTCTTTTGAAAATCGTTTGATGTCACATATATTGTTTCCTCAACAAAAATTTTAAATCAACATAATTATTAAATAAACACAATATTTAGCTATCCTTCATGAGTCAGATACCTGAAAAATTGTTGCCATTTTGACAAAAATACCATTTGAATACAATATGCAGAGTTTTGTCATGATTTAGGGGGAGAGAAGGGTGGAGGGAAGATTTTTAACAAAACCTGTGCTGCACTAACACCACCAGGCATACAGCTTTAATTGGCATGATTACATTTTAATTGGCATGAAAAAAATTTAAAGACAAGGATTTTAACTTCTAACAATAGTAAAATAGAGGGATATGGTTTTTAATATTACTTTCATCTAAGGTGAACAGTGTGGAATGGAAATACATTAGAATGAAATGTCAGTGGTGCGTACAGTTTAATCTGTGAAATTTTGTCCCCTGTGCTGCATATTACTCTGTCTCAATTGCATATTAAACAACCCTATCAAGGCAGGCATTGGCATCTGCTGTGCTGACACAAATTGTGAATTAAATGAAATTGATGTCCTCTGTCGTATATTTATGAAGACGGACCATTCTCTGAAGTATTCTGTTTATGAAGAATTTATGATTGCAAACTGTTCCAGAACAAAAAAGTGGCAATAAATTCTTTTTTGTGACCCTACCCTCCAAGGGCATTGATTTCACCTCCTGCTGCTACTTTTGTTACAGCATAAAAACAATAGCTAAATCTGGATTCCACTGAGGGTCTTCAAATTATCAATATTTGCACCATGAAAATACAAGGGTGTTGCCAAGAAAGGCTATTTTTCTGTTATGATCTCCTAAAGATACTATTTACAGAACACCACACAGCAAATGAATGTTTGTTGACTTAATTTTATTTATCTTTTAAGCTTATTTCTGTAGGTTTAATTCATCATTATAGATTAACTCCTACTGATTCTCCAGAGTGTTTTCCATCAAAAAAAAGAAAGAAAGAAAAAAAGCCCTCCCAACTGCACATTCATGCCATAGCGGTTAATCTAAGAAGGCTTCTAGCATAGTGGATTGGGACTTATTTTGACACACTTATAAGAAAATCTAGCATCCAGAAACGCAAAGTGGTTAAGAACTGTGGGGTTGAACAATTTCCAAGTCAGGTAAAATTCACTAACAGCACCAAGGAGGCTACCCCTTCTGAACAGCCCTCAGTCATATATGGTTTGGGGAATTGTACGTTATGAAACAAAACAAAACAAAAGGGATTTATTTCTCCATGCATAATCTGCTCTTGCCCTCTTTAGTATATTGATGAAACTCAGACTTCTATCTCCTGAAAATGTTATGCAGAGACTATTTTACTGTAAACTCCTGTCATGAGAATTCAAATGAATTTTCATCAGTGACCATGGTGAACGTTTACTTCTTGTTAAAGGAAATGATAGGTGAATGAGGTCTTCTTAAGCCTCTAGTGGTGGTCAGAACAACACACATGGCTCAAGAATTTGAAAATCCTAAATGGAACAATGAGCTAATCTGAACTGAATGTCAGTTGTGAGGTAGCAGGTGTAGCCGAACACCTTCCAGGTGGCCCTCGTTGCCAGCCAAACTGTGATACGTTTTTTGGTACCTGAGCTAATCGATTTTTTTTGTTTTTGTTTTTGTTTTTGTTCTTGGTGTGTTTTTTTGTTTTTGTTTTTGTTTTTAATCCGATGCATTAGAAAACCCTAGGACAGAAGATACAGGACACAATGGCAGGGCACAGTGGGTCTGGTCCACGTGACCTGCTCTCTCCTGAAAGCGGAAGCCTGGTAAGGCAGCTGGAGGTCAGGATCAAAGAACTGAAAGGGTGGCTAAGAGATACAGAGCTTTTCATCTTCAATTCCTGTCTGAGACAAGAAAAGGAAGGAACAATGAATGCTGAGAAACAACTGCAATACTTTAAGGTAATAAAAAAACAATCAAAGTTGATAAAAAGCTTTCTTTATGATAGGGATGAAATATTTATCAAGTACATAAAGTATTATACCCATGTATCTATGTATCACTGTGCACTTAAATGTTTCCTTGAATTTATAGACACCCTCCACATTTCTTGCACGCCAATGTCTGTGTGTGTATAAAGATGAACATTAAGCATATCAAATACACATTGTATGGGGGGATCTCTGCTGCTTGTGTGTTTTGTGCAGTGCCTGTGGAGGGAGGGCTTTGATAAATTAAAAGCAGACCAGCAAACACTAAAGATTCCTGAGGACTTTGAAAGGCGGACCTAAATGTTCCATAAATAATGTAGCTAAAAATACTTCCATGAATTGATATGATAAAAGCACATGATTTAATTGAAGACCATTAATGCTAACAAAAGGAAAAATAATTTTTACATGTGAGAGAATCAACTATTTATGGAGGAAAGAAATAAAGTAAGAGGTTCCTACATTACAGGCATATTCCATCATAGAAAAATGCCAACCTTAGCAACTGTGTGCGTGTTCACTGGACGTCCACAAAGAAGCCTCTACCTCATTTGTGTCCATGGTTTATGCACTAACTATTCAAAAGCAGTTTAAAATTCAAATATTTTCTTGTATGGTCTATACCCTTTGAATCCTCCTATAAAGGCAGTGATTATTTAGGCTCTGGCTATTATTAGTCTTAGGCTTTGGGGTTAGTTATGAATTTGGTGGCAAGAAACCTTCTGGCATGAATGGTCTCAAGGAGGAGAAACAGGAAAACCAAGAAGGAAAGAACTTCTTAGGACCAAGCAATTGTTCCTTTTTCAAAGTCTTCTAGGACCAGGTTTTATCACTCTCCAGCCCCTACCCCCCACTGCCATCGCCTCACAGCCCTGCAACCCTCCTACTGTCTATCTGAGAATTTGGTCACATAGTGGCTCCTTTTCCATCTGCCACATAAGCAGTCTCAAGTTGCCCGCTTTCATAGCCTTAGAGGAGGAGCCATCAAAGGCAGGGCCACAATACTTCCCAGTAGACTATCTGCAATATACACCTACAAATTGCTTTGCTTGAAAACCTTCTCTTCTGCCACTGAATTGACAAAACCAAACTGGAAATTAAATGAAAGCCTCTTTCAAAGGCAAATGGGTTTTACTCTCTAAAATCTAATGTCCAGAAGATTTGTTTTTCATCTGTACTTGTCTTGCCCTAAACCCCAGTGCAGGGAGATGGAGTCTTCTAGTATTTCCCTCTATTATTTGAACTTAACGGGCACCTTATAAAACATGCTGGTCATTAGTAGGCTAGATGTTGTGAAACATATTTTTTCTCTATAGTGTCTATGTCACAGCATTAATGAACCAGTTAATGACTCCAGCCAGCTGTGTGACCTTGGTCATGTTGCTTATATTATCCCTTGGTGCCTCAATTTCTTCATCTATAATATGGGATGCTGATAGTATTTATCTCAATAGTTATGTGTTTACATACATAAATTATTATTTCTACTTTTTTGTAATGGTGCATTTAGGGCTAGAAATATCTTAACATTATAAACCCAACAATGTTATATAATAATTGTAAATAATAACAGGAAGCTTGTTATTATAATTATTTGTATACCTACACCATATCTTATAGACAGATTTTTATAAACAACTCTCCCCCACTCTTGTTGTTATTATTATAAATGTAAGTGAGCTATTCTGCATTAATTTTGCTGATCTTTCCAAAAGACATTAGCTTTATGTTTTAGCTTTGTATAGTGTCATCAACATGATTTTCAGCTATTCTAGTAACAAATTTAAGAGAGTTTAAGAAACAAAAGAGAAACTGTGAGAGAGAAAAATCTTTAAACTTCCAGATCATTAGATGATTCCTAGGTGTCCTAGTCATTCACTAATACTTTCTAGCCTCTAGGGAAATATTCACTACATCTGATTCATTATTACCATGTGCATTTTAGTGCCTGAAAATAATCCTAGGATTTTTATTTCAAAAGTACCAGAGACTGTCACATGCTCTTTGCTATTTTCTTTCTTTCCTTCAAAGATAGTTTTTCTTAGAACATTTTTATGTTTTCAGTGTCACTAGTCATCAAACTAATTGCTTTTGTACCCCATTCTTTTATGTTTAGCTGTTTTTAAAATAGGCATGGACACTTATCTACCCTGCCCCCACACTCCCCCTGCAAAAAAAAAAAAAGGTAGGACCTTGATGATAATGTTCACCTCTCAATCTGATTTCCTAACCCTATTCCATCTCCTGCTCTCCTCACCTAAGATAATCATGAACCCCATATTCTTTGTGCCCTTGCTTTCTATTGATAGGAAAGAATATTTTTTTTAAATTTTAGTTGTTTTTAATTTTGTTAGAAGGTAATAATGCTATATGTTATCTTTTAGGTCTTCCTTTTCATTTACTATTGTAATGACAAGATTCATTCATGTCATTGAGGATGGCTGGAATTCACTTATATTGATATTTGTATGATATTCCATTGTGAATATATACATGTATCTCATTTAATGCTAATAGCAGCCTGAGAAGTTGGTATAAAGATCTTGATTTTGCAAGTATGGAAATGGCCACTTGAAGGTTAAGTTTTGTATGTCTAAGGCCATAATGAGTGGCAGAATTAGGATTTTTTTGTTTTTAAAAATTTTTTTTAAGTTTATTTTTAGAGAGGGAGAGAGAAAGAGAGAGAGAGCAAGCAGGGAAGGGGCAGAGAGACAGGGAGAGAGAGAAAGAATCCCAAGCAAGCTCTGCACTCTCAGCATGAAGTCCTATGTGGGACTTAGACTCACAAACCATGAGATCATGACCTGAGCAGAAACCAAGAGTTGGATCCTTAATTTGCTGAGCCACCCATATACCCCTAAATATACCCCATATACACCATGAAACCCTAAAAGTAGGTTTAAATCCAGAGCTGCCTAACTCTAAAGCCTATTCTCTGAACTACTATGCAAAATTAATATTTACTGAATGCCCTTCAGTGCTGGATGACTCAAAGTGAAGAACAGGACAGAACTAAATGTCACTATTTCTTTGTGGTTGGCTTATCAGTCACAATCTTCAGCAATTGGAACAGAATAGCAAATAGTTTTGGGTATTGAAGATCTTGGGAAGTGAAAATATTTGTGTTTTTATTTTACAATTTTATCCTATATCAGGGTAGACTTTTATTTTTGCCATGTGTCACTTTTTAAACTGAAACTTTCAAAATTTTTGAGATTATGGAGTCCTGATAATTCTTCTCTATAACCTGAAACTTGAGTCTCTTCTGAAGTTTTGACCTTGAGGAGTTTGATCAGGTAAGTTAAGTGGATCTAGCTTGATGGCCCTTCTTTTTTGTTTTGTAAGAAAGCTTTATGCTTGTCTGTTGGAATAAATGTCTTTCCTAGCCAGAATTTTAAATATTTCTGAGCTGTTTACTCTTTAGCACTTAGTGTATAATTAATCAAGTGTTCTGTATATTACCACATGCATTGGAAGAATTAAGCCAAATGTTTGTAATATAATAATAATGTAACATAATGTTTATAACCTATCAAAATCATAATTGATAATAAGCATATGCAGAATAAAAACTTTTTACTTATCACAAATCCAAAGAACAGATACCCTCTGTCTTTATAAGTGATAAAACCTCTCAGATAAGAGTTATTAAGGAATCTTTACACGTGGAAGTCTGCCACACTTTGCCTCTTCTTGTGGGTTCCCAAATGTCTACTGCTGTCATTGGTCACACAGAAGACAGGCTTTATCCACAGGGTTTAGCTTTATGATTCTCCATTCTCTCTACAATCTCAGGCTTTTAATGAACTAATTCCTTTATATGACACCCAGAGTAATGATAGATAAGCCACAGTACACTGCCCAGGAGAATGGGTGGGAGGGTGCTGCACATGAAAAGGAAAACCTGCGCCTTTGTAGACACAACTGTTTTCCTTCTTTGAGTTTGGTCTGGGTTGAGAGAAAGGATCAGGATCTTAAGTTTTCAGAAAAAGGGAAAAAGCAATTGTGGAATGTATTCTTTTTCTTTAATGCAGTAAGTATGATAAATGTGGGATTAGACACAAGATGAAATTCTACCTAAGGAAGAAAGAGTCAAAGCCCAGCATGGGGAGATACATGAAGATGTGAACCTGAGGCCCCTGGGACAGATATGCTAAATTGTCAAGGAGTGAACACACCAGTACAATAAAATGTGGAAGGCATGTCAGAGTTTTAATGAGGTCAGCTGGCAAAGGGCCCCCTAGAGCTGTTTGCATGCAGTTTCAATGCCATTGGCTGGAAAGCACTACTTTTTAATGATGACCCTTCAAAGAGAAAATAATTACCTAATCATATGTTTCTTGTATTCCATAACCAAATTCATTATTCTAAAGACTCAAATTGGGGAGAATGTATTCATTACCAGCTAGAGGAGGCTGCAACACTGGACTGATCCCAAAATCAGGCTGGGAAGGACAAGTTTAGAGCTGCCAAGAGGCTCTGTCATTCACAAAGGTGAATGGGTGGAATAGATTTGGTAAGCTTGGCAATGATCAATGCCCCAAATTTGCTTAGCAACTTAGGTTTGGCCAAGCACTTTTATGCAAGCAATTATACATAAAACAAAAAATAAAACAAAAAAATAAAAATAAAGGTAAAAAAAAAATGATTAAAAAAATAAAAAAAAAAAAAAAACTAAAAAAAGAAAAAAAAAAAAAAAAAAAATTAAATAAAAAAAGAAAAAAAAAAAAAAAAAAAAAAAAATACAATAAAAATTAGAAACAAAAAAAAAAAAACTAAATATAACTCACTAAAAATAAAAAATAAACATTAAAAAATTATTAAAAAATAAAAAAAAAATAAGAAAAAATAAAAAAAAAAAGGAAAGAAAAAAAAATCAAAGAAAAAAATAATAAAAAATAAAAAAAAAATAAAAAAACAAAAAAAAAAAATAAATAAATAAATAAATATAATAAAATAAAAAAAAAAAA